TCTGTTTTCTTTTCTTATTCAGGGCTGGCTGATGGATTCACTGACTTTACAAGTACTGGTTTTACATCGCTTCGAAGCTCCTGGGTTTGTCTGGTTTATTAATCTGTGCAATTTCCCTTCCCAGTAGGAACAGACCCAAAAGTGGAACAAAATCCATCTCTTACTCCATTTGATCATGGAGGGCTTGCATCTGCAAGCAGCAAAGCAGCTTCCCGGGACTCTGACTCAGTTGTTTCATAAGCTCTAAAATTGCGTGTGCGCCTGTATAACATTGGAGGTAGGTGGATGCAGTGAAAATGTGCGTTTGCCTCTTTAGGCTACAGCGTCATTCTTCAGACAAATATGGGTCCTCTGGGATGTGTATTTCTATTCTTACCATTTATGAAACATTTTGGATCAGACTGATGGGAATTAAACTTAGCATAAATCTGGAGCACCTGCCTTAGGATCAGTACGGGTAATATTTGGCACTACCCAAGCATTATTCATACAAGCATCTCAAAGCACTTTGCAATCAAGGTTAATTTATCATTATCCAGGCAGGACGCTAAGGCACTGGAGATTAGCTAGCTTGCTCACACAGCAAGCCCGTGGCAGGGCTGGGCAGAGAGACTGCTGGCTCCTCTCTCTCATCGGTCTCATTGTGCTCTGTCCCCTTGAACAAATGGCAAGGTAAGGTTTGAATTGCAGCGTTAGCTCTTCCCAGGCTGTATTACTTTGGTCGGTGTTTCCAAGGCCTGCGGAAGCTGAGTGACAATTGAGACGGCAGAATTGGGAAGCGTCAAACAAAGCTTCAAGTGGAAGGCAGGAAGTGTAAGATTGCCCAAAGGCTCCTCATTTAAAACGGACAATCTGGACTCTGGACTACGCTGTTTAAACTTTAAAAGAAAAGTGTTGACAATAATAGGATTTGACTGGAAAACAGCTCTTTCTTGCCTTGATATTGTGAACAGAGACACACAAAAGCATTTTAAAACTCTACCATGCTTTGTCATTTTTATATCGCTGGTTGACTTCTTAGTTCAGGGTGTGAGAACAGGGTTTCAGTCATTTTCCTCTTTTGTCTGGTCACTTGTAGATAAGGTCATTTAAATCTTCTGTACCAGCAAACTGTTTCCTCTGATGACAATTATGTAAATTAGGGAGATGTTTCTACTTCTTTTTAAAAACCAAATCACGTGTGGGGTCCAATCTGATTTGACCTTCTTTTGAAAGGCTTCAATCACAAAAGAGGCTGCAAGGACGTACCTTTGGAGTTGCATGTGCATATATTCACATTAAAATATTTCCCCCTGCTCTTAGTAACAAAGACAATGTACTGCTTTGACACCGTTCATCACTAGGCCCCAAAGCACTTTTCAAAGCAGGTCAATAGTATAATTGTCCCAATTTTACAAATGGGAGAATGGGACACAGAGGTGAAAGGGTTAGTCCATCGGCATCCAGCAGTCCAGGGATACAGCTGGATTCAGAGCCCAGGTCTCCATAGTCCTGGCCTAGTGCTCTGCCCTTCAGGCACCATCATTACCCCAAGAAAGAGGAGTAAGTTTTAATGTGTGTATTTCCTTTACAACAGTAACAGCACCCCTGACATGTTCCCAGTCCCTTAACCCGAGTTCTCATCCAGGGAAATGAGGTTGGGCAGGATTATTTTCATGGATGCACCACCAAGCAACCCCCTCAGCTGCACAAAGTTTTCTGTGGTACCGGATGACAGAGCAAGAAGGGACATGCTCGGGGGGGATAAGCTTCATCTTTCCCCCAAAGGGAAGCGTGTGTCCTCTTCTAGGTTGGCCGATCTCCTTTGGTGGGCTTTAAACTAGGCTCATCAGGGGATGGGGAAGATGAGGGCGGAGGAAGCCTGGGACCAATAAACCAAGAGACACCCACAAGGACAGCCCAGCCTGGACCAACGACGAGCAGAATGAATATTGTACTGAGATTAGGGGGCAGTGCACACATCTTCAGGAGGCCTCAAATGCCTCCACACAAATGCTTGTAGTATGGGGAACAAGCAGGAGGAACTTACCCTCCTTAAGTCAGCTCACGGAGGTAGTTAGGTCAAAAGACGTGGTCATTATGGGGGACCTGACCTTTCCAGACATCTGCTGGGAAGAGCAGTCAGCCAGGTCTGACCGCTCACGTAGGTTCCTAGCCGAGATACAGGACCTCCATCTAACGCAGGAGGTGCGCAGTCCCACCAGGGGAGACGCCTTGTTGGACCTGCTCCTGGCCACAGGCAATGACGTGGTGAGGGGGCTGCGGGTGCTCAACCGCCCGGGCAACAGCGATCATCACCTGCTGCAATTCACCATCCAGCGCAAGGTGGCAAAGCCTGCAGCAAGGCAGCAGCCCTGGACTTTAGGAGGTCGGACTTCAATGAAGTAAGGAGAATAGTTGGGGAAGTACTGAGGTCCCGGAGGGGAGGGGAGTTGGGTGTCCAAGAAGAGTGGTCGTTCCTTAAGGAGACGATCCTCCAAGCCCAAAGGGAGGTAATCCCAACACGGATCAAAGCAGGCAAGAGGGCGCAAAAGCCCCCATGGCTCCCCAAAAGCATACGGGGATGTCTCCTAGCTAAAAGGGAGGTGTACACCCAATGGCAGGGAGGGGCATCACCAGGGAAGACTACACCTCAGGTGCTCGGGGCTGCAGGGGGGCGGTCAGGACGGCCAAGGCGGAGATGGGACTGGGACTAGCGACCCGGATCAAGGACAACAAGAAGTTCTTTTTCAAATACATAGGGGGCAAAAAGAAGGTACTGGGTAATGTGGGGCCTCTGCAAGGCAAGCTAGGAAATCTGGTCATCACACCAGACAACAAAGCTAACTTATTTAACAATTTCTTTGCCTCCATTTTCCTGAGCAGGGACCAGATCAGCCCATCCGCTGGGACCCCCTCAGGCCCCAGGGGAGGTGCACCCAGGCCCAGGGTCAGTGAGGACCTAGTCCAGGAACTTCTGGAGGGACTGGACGTATTTAAATCAGCTGGTCCTGACAACCTCCACCCCAGGGTGCTGAGGGAATGAGCAGAGGTCATTGTGGGACCCCCGGCATGGCTTTACGAGCACTCATGGTGCTTTGGTGTGGCGCCAGAGGACTGGAAAAGGGCCAGTGTGGTTCCCATTTTCAAAAAAGGGAGGAAGGAGGACCCAGGAAACTATAGACCAGTTAGTCTTACCTTGATCCTGGGTGAGCTTTTTGAGAGAGTTATCCTGGCACAGGAGGTTATGCTCAGGAGCAACCAGCATGGGCTCATTCGGGGCAGGTCCTGTCAGACCAACCTGGTGGCCTTCTACGACCAGGTCACAACATCCTTAGACATAGGGGTAGCAGTCTTTCTGGACTTCAGGAAGGCCTTCGACACTGTGTCTCACCCCATTCTCAGTAAGAAACTAGGAGGCAGAGGTGTTGATGCCTACACGGTCAGATGGGTCACTAACTGGCTGGTGGGCCGCACCCAGAGAGTGGTGGTGGATGGGTCATTTTCGACCTGGACAGATGTGGGCAGTGGGGTCCCCCAGGGCTTGGTCCTTGGGCCCGCACTGTTCAACATCTTCATCAGTGACTTGGGCAAGGAGATAAAAAGCACCCTGTTCAAATTCGCAGACGACACTAAGATGTGGGGGGATGTGGGCACACTAGAAGGGAGGAACAGGCTGCAATTGGACCTGGACAGGTTACAGGGGTGGGCAGATGAGAACAGGATGGGTTTCAACACAGACAAGTGCAAGGTGCTGCACCTGGGGAGGAAGGACCAGCAGCACACCTACAGGTGGGGAACTCCCTTCTCATCAGTGCAGAGGCAGAAAAGGATCTTGGAGTCATCACTGATGTCACAATGAACATGGGCCGACAGTGTGAAGACATGGTCAGGAAGGCCAACCGCACCTTGTCATGCATCCACAGATGCATCTTGAGCAGGTCCAGGGAGGTGATCCTCCCCCTCTACACAACACTGGTAAGACCACAGTTGGAGTACTGTTTCCAGTTCTGGGCACCGCACTTCAGGAGGGATGTGGCCAGTATGGAGAGGGTCCAGAGGAGGGCCATTCGCATGACCAGGGGGCAGCAGGGCAGGCCCTACGAGGAGAGGCTACGGGACCTGAACCTGTTCATCCTCCACAAGAGAAGGCTGAGAGGGGATCTAGTGGCCTGTTACAAACTAGTCAGAGGGGATCAGCAGGCATTGCAGGCATCCCTGTTCCCCTGAGCACTACCAGGAGTGACTAGAAATAGCGGTCACAAGCTGGCAGAGGGTAGATTCAAACTAGACATCAGGAGGCACTACTTCACAATCAGGGCGGCTAGGATCTGGAACCAACTTCCAAGAGAAGTGGTGCTGGCTCCTACCCTGGGGGTCTTTAAGAGGAGGTTAGACGGACACCTTGCTGGGGTCGTTTGACCCTAGTACTTTTTCCTGCCATGGCAGGGGGTCAGACTTGATGATCTGCTCAGGCCCCTTCTGACTCTACCTACTATGAAACTATGAAACAAGGAGCAATGGGCTCAAGTTGCAGCAATGGGAGTTTAGGTTAGAGATCAGGAAAAACTCTTACTAGGAGGGTAGAAAAGCACTGGAAAAGGCTACCCAGAGAGGTTGTAGAGTCTTCAGACTTGGAGTTTAAGACCCAGATTGAAAAAGCCTTGGCTGGGATGATCTAATTAGGGCTGGTCCTGCCTTGAGCAGGGGGTTGGACTAGATGTGACCTCCTGAGGTCCCTTCAACCCTCATTTTCTATAATTCCAAGTGCTACTGGCGAGCTAATACCTTCCTCTCCGTTGGTATCAGCCAATGCCCCAACTCCTGAAGGCACACTGTATTTTCCAGGATGGCAGGATTTAGAAGAAATATACAAACAGATCCTGTCCCCTTCTGGTCACTAGTTACAATAACCCCTTGCTGTCTGTCTCCTTTTTAACATGTTTAGAAACATCAGCCTTGTATTATGACCCAACTCTATTTTGACTGATACGACACCCCACTGGACTCCAGGCAAGTTGTCAACAGACTATCACATTCTTCTTAATGTCCTCTCTTAAATGTTACACAGATACCATCACATGGGTAATCGCTGGCTTTGCAGCTTCTAGTAAGATGGTAGTATTTTAAAACATCTTAATCAAAGCTTCCTTAATCCCCTTTAAAAAAAACCCAAAACACAAAAGCACCTTTATCTGAGAGCTGCGGAAGCTGAGTGACAATTGAGAAGGCAGAATTGGGAAGTGTCATCAAAGCTTCATCTGGGAGGCAGGAAGTGGAAGATTGTCCAACGGCTCCTCGGTGCCTTTACAGGCCAAGTGTCCCATGCATTCTTCATAGCTTCTTTAGATCCTCAGGTCCAAACGACAGAGGCAAGAGCTCTTCAAGAGTCTTGAACATATACGTCCCATTTGGCTTTGTCATGAAAACGTCCCAGTTTCTCCCAAACTAGAAAAAGAGCCAGAGAGAGAGAGAGCCATCTGTGAGCCACACTTTGTAGATCCCCAATTTCTTTCATGGATGATTTGCTCTCTATGCAAACACACTTAAACTACAACCAGAATCAGTACCTTAATGGTTTTACAATAAACAGCAGTACCAATCCAGCTCAATGGTCAGTCTTTTAGGACCCACAGTCCAGCAGAGCTGGACACAGGCATGGGCAAACCAGGCGCCCGCCCGGGGCCTGGACAGAAAGGGGGCCCGAAAATGGTAATTTTTTTTCCGTTGTCCAATTATTATTGTCATTATCTCTGGCATACTAAAAGTTCACTTGGGGCTGCCAGGAGTCTAGGTACAGTGCTGCTGTCCAGTACAAGGGGACTGCACTTCAGCCCCGAAGTGACCGCATTTACTGGTGGATGAAATAATTACCATATTATTTCATGATATAATAGGGCTGCGGGCTGTGATCCTGTGATGAAATTTCTTTCTTGTGCCCACAGGGATCCCAATATAGGACAGGAGCCAGCATGAGCCGGTGCTCTATGGACATGCAGGTAGATAAAGAAGAGTTTGCTCTCATGCGCAGGATTATATAAAGTGTCCTCCTCAACTGATCCTTGCAGCAGCTGCAGGGTGTGCCATTGACATGAATGAACACAGAAGAGAACCTAAAAGCCCCTCTGGCAAAGACTCACATCCATAGAGTAACTCTGCCCTGGAGCCATTAGGTAAGACCCTTGCAGAGCACCGGGCGTGGATGCTATCCAAGCCACTTTCCCTAAGACTTACAGTGAGGCATGCAATGAACTTTCCGTCTTGCAGTCGTCACCCTGCTATCATGGTGACCCTTTAACCGGTGGCCTTTGTCATTGCTCTGTTCAGATTAGCACAGGCCTATTTGCTTGTGCTTGGTTTATTTTGAACCACTGTCAGCTTCCTTTTGTAGGCTGGTTTCTGAGTCTCGCTTGCTTGCTGTGCCTTCCTACCTCTAACCTTTCTTCCAGCCTGGTCCCCTTCTCCTCTGCATTTGTGCCATCATCTCCTTAACATCCCTGCCAGCTCCCCACCGAGAGCTCACATCCCCATTGACACCCCCAGGATGGATTCCAGGCCGCCTCTCCGGGATGCCTGTACCGTGCCAGAGTATTACACCAAACAGGAGTGTGAAATCCCAAGCCGCTTCTTACATCCTCTTCCAGTTTTTAATGTAGGGGATGATCTTGCATAGCCGATATTTCCCCAAACTCCCACTGTCCTCCAAAGATAATGTTGAGTGCATAAGCAATCCCAAGATCAGGTTCTTGGGGAGCCGTACCTTTGAAATAATGCTGCTTATCCAAGCAGCGAGAAGCATTAGCTATCTGAGGGATGCTGAAAACATTAAAAGCAGCTTAGCGACCTATTTTTGGAGCGATGCATATTTGGTGCCCAGGAAGAAAATTAATCTGGGAAGTGCTATGAAACCGTGCTGACTGGCCCCGTGTTTCACCGAGCCCCTTTGAAAATATTGATCTGTTCACCCTCCACGACAAAGCCTCAGGGCAGCTTACAGTAAGAGAACAGCATCCTTTATAAAACAGAGCACCGAGAGAACAAAACAGCTGGAAAGGGAACTACATTGTCAACATAAACCAGAGACCACCCCCAAACAATATCTCAGCCTAGTTCTTTTTGCTAAATGCCTGTCCAGACAGGAAGGTCTTTCCGCGCTTCTGAAAGACGTCCAGGCTCAGGCTCTGGGGGGTCCCAAGAGACAGCGAGTTCGCAAGCTGAGGGGTGACTGCTGCTCTTGAATGACCTTAGGGATCATGATGGGACATAAGAGAAAAGATGACCCCTGTGTAGAGCCCAAGCTGTTTCTCACAGGTCAAAACCTGCACCTTACATGGTGCCCGGAAACTATTGGGGCCAGTTCTGGAAATCTGATTTTGCAATAACTGCCCCAAATGCTGCAGGCTGAATCTCGAGCAGGTTTCTGCATGTATGCAGGGCAGGAGAGCCATGGACGTGCTGCATCACTGCTGTATCTGCAGCCTGGAGCACCCGCCAGCTGAATGCAACCCCCACGGCCCCTCTGCAGGCCCTCCAGCATGAAGTGGGGGAGAGGGTGGATGCTGCAGGGCAGGGCTGATAGGTTTTCTCAGAGCACTCGACCATTCTGCACCCGATTCTTCCCCGGGCCCCTTGCAGGAGCCAGTCGTAAACTGATGTCCTTGCTTAGAAAACCCTGGAGCATGTGCTGGGGCCAAGGACTCTTTGCTTCATCTCTGTAGTCCTGTATCAAGGTGTTTTTCCCAGAACAGAGCTCTTTATTTAATCGTGGCTCAATCTCAGGCATTAGCCTGATGTTACTGTAAGGCCAACACTAGGGCAAGTCAAGTCTCATCCCATTGACTTCAATTAAACTGCTGGTTCCACCTGCTCCTGCCCTTGAGCAAACGGTGTGGGATGAATATTGCAGCCAGCCCTTTTTTATTGATCGAGCGGCCCCCTCTCCCCTTGCTGTGCTCCACAGAGAAAACTTTCCAAGCTTGGTGCTGGGCAGTGTTGGGAGTCGGATGCCCACCTGCTTGCACATCTCTGAAGGTTTCCTTACTCAGCAAGCCTCTCGTTGTGTCCCCTGACATTTAGGACACTGCCTCATGGGGTTTGGAAGAAATAAATGTTCCCAGCAGGCAGATGGATTGGACTGAAAGCAGTGGAGCTTCAGCCGGAGAGGCGGAAAGCAAATTCACTTACCTCTCTCATTACTTGCCGGCAGGCCCCGCAGGGCACGATGAACTGCTCCTCTGAGTCACTGTCAAAGGAAAAAGGGATACAAAGCTTAGGTTAGCACAGGGGGAGGAAGGAGAACCTACAGAATATGTTAATATTTCAAACAAGCCTTCAGATGGGGTTGTGACATCGGAAGAAGGTTCCCCTCCATAGATCCCAGATAGTTTTACAAAGGAGAGCAAGCATCGCTGCTCTTATTTAACTGGTGGGGAAACTGAGGCACAGCCCCAGGGAGGCCAAGGCAGCGACTGGCACGTCACAGCTCCATGGAGTCTGAGACCAGGTGTGAGCATGAGATTATCGAGTCTGAGGCCCAGCGGATGACAGGTCGTTCAGTTATACTCGGAGCCTAAAATCTTGCACGTTTAGTTACACGGCATGCCATCTAGAAAGCCTCCTGGTCTCAACAGGAACATATCCAGAGATGGAAAATCTACTATTTCCAATGGGAGCTTGTTTTACTAGACCCTTGGTTCTTCCTAATGTCTAATTGGGATTTGTCTTGCTGCAGCTATTGCTTTTTTTATGCCTTTTTTCTGCTAGACAGAAAACCCTTTTAGAGACCGGTATTCGCTCCCCATCAAGGTACTTCTGCACTGCAACCAAGTCACCTTTTACTGTTCTTTTTTCTCAGGCAAACAAATCTGAGCTCTGGCTTTCTTAATGGGAAGCTTTTTCTCTAGCCCTCTGATTTTTCAGCCTCTTTGTTAAAATAGGACTGCTTGCAGCTTTCTTCTATTGGTACATCGACGTATGCTCACCCTCTTACCTCTGCTTACAGCTCTCCTGTTTATACACCTCAAAATTGCGTTGTCCTGGCACATCACAGATTACTCACTCACACTCACTAATCCTGTTGTTGGGATGGGCTCTGAATACTTCTTTTTGGGGAGGGCACTCTGAAGCTGTCACGTAGTCTCACAGGCTGGGATAAGATCTGTGGTCCAATGCCCTCCTCTATAGGCCTGGGGACGTGCCTCTCAAGACAAAAAGGTAGTGGGAGTTCTGGCCCAGCCAATCTCCCCCGTTTCATTTCACTATCCGACAAAGATGCAGGGAGTCTAGGCTCTGCACGGCATGGAGGTTCAACCCAGTTAGCACTCCTCCATGCTTGTCCTAACTGGATCGGCAGTGAATTCCCACTGAGGAGTGTGTGTGTGCTGGGGAGGAGAGAGCAGAGGAATTAAAAGGCGAGCATCCTCAGCCTACAGCCTACTCTCTCCCCTGTGTAAAGACCTACAACTTCTGCGGACAGATCCCTGGCTCAAAGATTGGACTCTAAGACACCTCATCCCCGTCAATGAGCCATGGTAGAGATCATCCTTGAATTGAGGCATTGCTGATGACGTGAGGATTGGGTTGTGCCAATGGTAGCACGTGTCTCCCAGCCATATCTCTGTCACCTCCCTGCCATGATGCAGCCCCAAGCCTTTAGAGGTTTCAAGGGCAAGAAGAGTGATGCTATTTCCATGAACCTCAGCCTTTTCTGCATGCGCTGGCCACTCTTTGCCAACACTTGCTCAGTTTTCATCCTTTGGTGGTAGAGCCCATGGGGAAGATGCCCCTGCAAGGATATTTCCAGATATTAGCCTGGACCAAGCCCTCAGAAGGGGCCTGTCGCTAAAACTCTTGAGGTGTCCTTCAGGGAATGGACCACAGCACACATCAACATGGACCCATATCTAGTGTTCAATATTGTTGTGAGCACATGAAAAAGCAATCTGGACGTTAGGGAGCACCAAGTCCACATAACTATAGAAACCTCCTCATTAGCACAAAAAATAGTCATTAACATTTGAAAGGAGAGAACAAACCAGAGAGAAACAGCCGTGCAGCTGGTAATATTCAAGACTACAATTTTCTGGTGCTGTTTTATGAATGTGTCCTCTTTTGTTCTGAATGAAATTCATGCCTTGGGGCTGATGAGTGCCAAGGACTTTTCCGAATTTAACAAGCCCACTGATTTCAGTCCATCGAGACAGAAGAGTCTTAAACTCCTCACCTGCCTTGTATTAAGCCAGAAACGAGGAGGCTGAGATACACACGCTGCTGAGCAGTGGGGATTACAACAAAGACCGAGTGGAATTGGCCATCTCTTGTTTTATGGGATGGGGCTGAAAATCTCTATGAGGTTTCTCCAAGGCAAGATCACAGTCCAGGCATGGTTTTTGCTCACATAAGCCTGGGTTCTGCAAACTAGACCTCTCTACCAATATAAAGTCCCGTTGCCTTCCCCAGGGTGCTGCACAGATGCTTTGGGAAAAATAATTCTTCTAGGGGGTTATGAATTAAGAGGCGACCAATAAAGTACATTGCAGCCCAAATCCTATTCATGTCTGGGCCACTGTCGACATGAGTAAGGGCAACTTTGGTGAGTAAGGGCTGGCAGGACTGAGACTTCTGCCTTAGAAGAGGCTGCAGCATGGTGATCTCTCAACGCAAAACCCTCCGATTGCTTTTTTTCCCTCCCAATCTCCAAAGCTGATTCTGCAAAAATTGTCAAAAGGGAAAGCTTGTCTTGAAAGCACAATACATCCTTGTGCAGCCACCCCCGGCTGTGCATGCCTGTGTGTTTTACATGAAGGAAATGGAGAATGAGAGGAATAACAACAGCGTGTTTTTCCATCCAAGCCCATCTTGAAATGAATCTGCTAAGGAGACCTGATTCATCACCGCCTCTTACCTCGCAATGGCCATGGCTCTGAAATCCGTGTACCCTTCCGAGATGGCTTTCTGAATGGCAGTGCGCTCAGCGCACACCCCCAGCGGGAAGCAGGCATTCTCCACGTTGCACCCTGAGGGAAGTACAGGGCAAGCTGTTACTTTTTGGACTCGTCTGCCAAGAATAGGAAGCTCTCACCCCTTGATACAGTGCCCTGGAGTTCAACCGCCTGCAGGGCCAGGGATCACTGCCATCGCTGGGGTGGGGCAGGCACCACAACAGGACCCAGCCCTATGAGAGGGGGCAAGGAATGTGCTCTTAAACTGAAACCACAGGCAAGAGTTAAGGGAACAGACAGTAATTCCTATGTGAGAAACCTGCCAGGACTGTGAGAGCTAAACCTTAGTTATGCTCAGCACAACGAGGTCCCAATCCTGCATTCACTTACAAGAGCACCCTCCAGCTGCAAATGCATACAGTACGCAGGCACTTAGTCAAGAGAGACAGTGCCAGTAGCTGGCATTCATGAATATGCATCATAGTTCTCTCATGAATACGTATTGTGGCTCTGGATTTTGTAGGATCAATAATACTTGTTGTGCACTGCAAATGGCTTCCTCTACACAGCTCATTTCGTTAGCGCTTAATATGCTCTAGGTTAATAAAAATGATTATTCATGATGACTATAACAGTCCTGAAAGCAACATGGGCTCATTAAGGACTACAGCACAAATTGAGCCTGGGTGTAAGCAGGGACGGTGCAACGAGGTGAGCAGAGTTGTTCCATTTCCTCCCAGGAGCAACTGTTGCCCTTTAAATGGCTGGTGTAAGCGCTTCCGGCCCGATGGTGAAAGCTGGGGCAAGACCGACTCAGAAAGAAGTACGCCACTTCCTGAGCCGCCAGCACCGACTTCAGCTGGATTCCAGCCAAGTGCTAATAAGGTCCGGCTTTGCTGAGATGGGGAGATCAGACCAGGCTGCGCCTTGCGGGAGGGCGCAGGGTGGCATAACTGATGTGCAATTAAGAGTTGGTGAAGGAAGCAAGGATTGCATGCTTCCTCTCTCCATGCTGCAGATCCCCTGTTCAGTGGCATCCAATGTATGTCTTTCCATTAAACCCACCAGATCCTCCCCCTCAGCAAAAGTGTTGTTTGGTAGCTTTGGCCACTGGGCCTTTGTATTTTTTTCATTATTGGATTGCCTGCATGGATGACTACCCGATTGGTGGGGTGCATGCATTGGTCTGCGCAGGATCCGTTACTTCCAGTACTACATGGACCAGAGGAAAAGCAATTAAAGCCTGACGTGAAGAACATAAGCGGAGAAAGCCTGTGTGTTGTGTGTTCAAGACGTTCTCATTTCTCCCACCTGCTGAGCGGACACCTGCACCTGAAATCAAGTGGAGCTACAGATGCTCAGCACCTCTGCAAACCGGGCTATAAAGCTATGCTACAAATGCAAGGACCAAAGGTAGCAAAGGATCCCTCAGGCCCAAGGTCCAGATGCAGCAGCTGGATTTGTTCCCTTTGGATTGTTATTGGTAAATACGGTTTTCCCTGCCCACCTAGCTCCAAGTACCAATATTCAGGCACATTGTTGGGGAGTGTCTGCCCAGGCTGGTCCCTGCCAGAAGGTGCAAGGAAATCTCCTACCTTCCTTGGTTTTTATTCACAGGAGGAGCAAAATGAAGGAGCTGGGAGTTGCCCTCAGCCTTCTCCATCTTTCAACAAGCCCTATTTCTGTTTTTTTAAAGAGGACTCAAGGCTTGATCTGTGGTTGAGTCATCTCTTCACCTCCAGTCCAAACTGGGAAATGTACCTACTGCTTCTTCTGTACCTTCGTGCTAATTGCTGTCAGGAAGAGATGATTTGTAGTTTAGTAGCCTACAAAGTAATCCCCATCTGGTCTCAATCTGTTGGGGCTTGCTCATGCCCAGAGAAAGACAGAAACCAACCAAAAGCCAGTTCCTCATATGATTCAGTGATGTTCTCCTGGGCTTTCCCCACACCCAATTTATTTGCCAGCCTTAGAGGACTGCAAAGATCTGAATGTGGCCTGGGAGATTAAGCACGGCAAGGGAGAACAAGATGGCTTGGACAGGCAGGGATGCCTTAGGGGCAGCAAAATCCTAATGCTGCAGCCAGAGGCACTGGCTGGCCAGCCACCATTCAGAAATCATCAGTATTTGTACTACCGCAGCACCTAAAAACCCCAGTCGCAGCCCCAGAACTCACTATGCCGCAAAGGGTGGTTCCAGCCCCAAAGCACTTATCATGTAGGTATAAGACAAGAATCAACTGGTGAATGCGGAGAGATGGAAAAACACAACGAAACAACAAGATCGAAGTCAGGAATCAGGGTCCCCTCCTTGCCCGCCTTCCCAAAAATTATGAGCAATCTTTTTTTAAAAAGCAGCACGTGTGTGTGGGGAGCGAGTGGTTTGTTTCTCGTAGCTTTGATCCTTTAGGGTTTTCTTGTATGAGCATTTCTCTGCACACACAAAGTTTCACATCACTGTTTGCCTCCGAAGAGCTTAATTATGAGACTGGCTTAAAATCAAGCAATCTTTTTTTAAAAAGCAGCACATGTGTGTGTGGGGAGCGAGTGGTTTGTTTCTCGTAGCTTTGATCCTTTAGGGTTTTCTTGTATGAGCATTTCTCTGCACACACAAAGTTTCACATCACTGTTTGCCTCCGAAGAGCTTCAGCTTTTCAAACATAACAAAAACAGCGAGGGAAACAACCTCCCCGTCGCCACCACCAAGTCTGAGCGGGTGCACTGGACTTTCCATAGGCAGGGATGCACAAAAAGGCTTTCTTGTTTAGTTCCCTGTCCTAGTCTAGTGCTGGAGTGGGTGGGGAAGCAGGTGAGGCCATTGGCAGAAAGAGGAGCTAGAGGCTGAATATGGATTGAAACTCAGGGTGCTGTTACAGGTCACTTCTGGGACATTTTACTTTTGGGGTTTTTACACAGTGACAAAGTGAGAAGAGTTTCAGAGCAGTCCCAGGTTAAGGCTTTATGCCCTCTCACACCTGCACAGCTGTGACTTGCCACTGGAGAGCCTGGCATGCAGGGGCCTGGCCAGGAGCCGGGGCTCTGGGGTGGGAAAGGAGGGGACAGGAGGGGTTGTAGCTGGGAGGCAAAGAAACCAGTGTGGGGGCTCTGGATTGGGAAGATAAAAGTCTTGGGGAAAAAAAGGCTGTTCAAAGTGAAGTGGGTGGTGGGAGAAGTAAAGAGAACGGAGTGGGGGGAAAAAGAGAATACAATGAAGATACATAAAGGACCAAAATTTTGCATGTGTTTCACTGAATTGGGATTGGGGCAGGGGCGACTTGTGTTAGTGCTCGCACCGAGGCAGAGCTGAGATCCAGCGGGCTCATTACATGCCATCCTGGGGCAGAGTTGAGACCCATTGGGCTCGCTTGACACACCAGGGCAGCGCTGAGACCCAGCAGGCTCGCTGCATGCCACGCCAGGGCAGCACTGAGACCCAGCACTACGGAGGTAGTAGGATCGATTGCTGCTGCTGTTTGCACGGAGGTGCCAGAGCAAGCAGCAAACGGATGAGGTGCATTGCCCCTGGGTGCAGAGCGGTCAGGGTCACACCTCTGGGGACGGGAGCGGGTTTCACCCTGCAGCCAGCACCATCCCACAGAGGTGCACCCTGAGATGCTGGAGGCATGAGAGAAGAGCGCTTTATCTCCCCGAAGCATTTGAACAGTACCCGGGGATGACCCGGGTAAAATGGTTCAAAGTTAAATCTCACTCCAAAGCGACACAACTGTAAAACATTTAGAGGGGACTTATCACGGGCTAACACTTTTTAATGAGTGATGGCTTGCATTTTATGGTTTTAGGGGAACCTGTAACACCATCCTCAGCTTAGAAAAGACAGGTGAAATCTCGAGTCCCCCTGCAGCCAAGTGAGGTGACATCGGGAGATAAAAAGTAAGGATACAAAAAGCACAGAGCAAAGCTTTCTCCACTGTACTGTGCTCATAGTACAGACCAAACCTTGTTACTGCACAGCCTGCTGCTTTCCAGACACCGGCACCCAGCATCTGTACCTCTATAAGGCGTCACTCTGTGGATGTGAGATGTCTCTGCACATGCAGAGGCCCTTGGGTTGTACCTCTGTGGCATACTACAGATGCAGAGATACCCTGAGTTAGCTGTGAACATAACAGAGTCCAAGGAGCACGGGGCAGCCCTCTGCAGAGATCTCCAAGCCAGCTCTGGAAAGGGAAGCGGGGTAGCTACATTAGCTCAGGGGAAGAAGCTCTACTAGGCAGGGAAGGGCACGGCTTGACAAGCGGCTGAGATGTTACGGCTCCATCCTCACTTACCAGAGAAGATCTTCCCGTCACCAGTCAGAAGAGCTGCTCCCACTGGGAAGTGACTGTAGGGACAATAGGCTGCTTTCTTGGCTTCCTTGCACATGTGCAAGAGGTGTTGGATCTGCTCGGGTCCCACCGAAGAGCTGGCACTGTTTGGCGCAGAGCCCTGGGAACAGTTGCCCGGCACCTGAGCCATGGGCACACTCAGGTGTATCCTTCCCTCTTTTCACCTGCAGCAAGGGAGAGGAGGAAAGGGATGTGAGCCAGAGCGATCGTGCAAGGCAGAGTGAGTCAGGTGTGTGAGTTGATGTCTGAGGGAATGACTCCCATGAATGACTCAGCATCTGAGGGAGTGAGTCCTGTGTGTGACCCGGTGTATAACAGAGTCCTGTGTGTGACCCGGTGCATGACACAGTGAGTCCCATGTGCACTTGGTGTCCGAGGGAACGAGTCCCATGTGTGACCCGGTGTCTGAGGGAGTGAGTCCCGTGTGCAACCCAGTGTCTGAGAGAGTGAGGCTGGCGTGCACTTGCTGTCTGAGGGAGCGAGTCCAGTGTGCACTCGGTGTGCAAGGGAGCCCATCCTGTGTGCAACCCAGTGTCTGAAGGAGCTAGTCCAGTGTGCACTTGGTGTGCAAGGAAGCCCGTCCAGTGTGCGACTCAGTGTCTCAGTGAGCGAGTCCAGTGTGCGACTCAGGCAGCAAGTCGGGTGTGTGTGTCGGTGGGGCAGACTTGGGGGCCAGGCTGGCACCAGGGTGCGCTGGCAGCATCCCCACGGGCGAGCGCCGTGCAAGTGTGCCCTGCACTGCCTGGCCCCGCTCCCTGCCCGCCCGGTGCCTGCAGGGGCTGTCGCAGGGGACGGGCTGTGGGACCCCATCCCTCCCGGCCCCGGAGCAGGTGGCTGGGCTGTCCGCGCCGGCCGGGGCAGGAGACCGCGGGCGGAGCCTGCCTGCCCGGCCGGGGCACCGCTGGAACAGCCGCCTCGACGGCACCCACCGCTGGAACAGCTGGATTTGCGCCTGGCTCAACGGCACCCACAGCTGGAACAGCTGGATTTGCGCCTGGCTCGATGGCACCCACAGCTGGAACAGCTGGGGATCCTAGAGCGGTGGAGAAGCAGGAGGCTGGAAGGGATCAAAGCCCCAATGCTGTACCTCCCCCTAGAAGCAGCACCAGTGCACCAGTGCAGGAGTGGCTGCCCCCATTGCACGGCTCAGTTTCCCAGCCATTCAAATACAACGCAGCATTTTAAAGGCCCAGCTGGTCTCCTTGCTGCAGAATTGGGGGTCAGATTTGGGAAGGTCTCTCATCCAGCTCCCTGCCCAGACCATCCCAACCAAATCTATTATCTAACGGCCTCTTAACAGCCATGCAGGCAACCCTGATGCAGCACAGGACATCGAGCAGTGAGACGGAGACAGCAGCAGTGAACAGAGGGCTCCAAGACTTCAGCAGTGAGAGCCCAGAGCATACCCAGCTCAGGGGGAGATACAGAGGCAGGGCCTCAGCAGCTCCTGCCCTAACACCTAGAAAATATCAGGCCCTGGGAAACATAGCAGCCAGCAAAGCTGGGGCTTAGCTTCCAGTTGGGACCTCTAGGAGCACAGTGATGCAAAGGAATAGTAGTAAAATGGGTCGTAGGCTGTGTGGAGGAGAGGAGGTGTCTGCAAAGTCTTGGCATGGGGGAGAGAAGGTGCCTGCAAAGGCTTTGATATGCAGGGATGTGGCTGACAAGGAAAAGTCCCCTGGGGAGACAGGTCTTTGCGCCCAAAAGTTGCGTCCCTTGGACAACTCCATCTAGCTGCCACGCTGAGCCAGGCCTGCCCCGAGCAATGCTGGAGTTAAATATTTCTGTGACCTTAAAGGACTCCAGCCACTGAACTAGGTTTCACAACAAGCCTGGCACTGCATATTGTGACTGAGCAACACGACATGTAACGGGTCAGGGCCTGGCCCCAGCTGCTGGAGAGCAAGAGGTTAATCAAAGCTCCATGTCCCCCTCCCTCAAAGGATGTGAGCGGTGGAGGGGGACACTTCCCAGCCCCTCTGAGCAAGCACGGTGGAGCTGCATGCACTAGCACAGGTGGCTATGCAAGGTGTAATAATGCCCAGGGAAAGGGCAATGGATCGGCTGGTTGGCATGTGGGTAGGGTGGCCATCATAGAGGACATTCCAGTTTTCTGCTATTCTGTCCTCTGTCCTCTATTGATATGAAACCTGACGCCTTTATGGCCTCTATTTTTCTCTTCAAGAAAAATAGAGTTGGTTTCGTATCAATAGAGGACAGAGGACAACTGGACTGTCCTCTATGATGGCCACCCTAGATGTGGGGCGGGATCCAGACAGGTCATTACAGGACTGGGAGGAACCTCTCCTTTCCTTCATAGTTTTCAGCTCTAATCCTTGAAGACACCTTGCTGATTGCAAATATATTTCCCTGAATCACCCTGCCAGCTTACACTGTGAAACGGGTCCCTTACCGTACCTCTGTGCCAGCCCAGTGACTTACCAGCAAACCTGGGTATCTAAAACACCAACATAGAAGTCGCTGCAATGATTGCATTGCTCAATTTCCCATTTACTCAAACACAAAACAGAGGCAGAGCTGCCGTTCCAGGACAGCACCCAAGACATCCCACTTGCTGCAGAATTGGGGTTCAGACAGCTACAGCGTGCCTGCAGACTAATGAATAGCACTGGCTAGTGAGGGGCAGTGTTGATCAGTAGATGAGATGCGATCCTAGGTGCCAGGGTCCTCATGCCACCCCTGCCACTGCCTTCCTTGCCTCCCCTTAGTCAAATCATATCTATTCTCTGCTCTGTGCCCTCCCCGTCCCGCTGTTCCTCTCTCTTGCTTGCACAAATAATATATTTCTGACAACAGCAAGAGTCTTGAACAGGGCTGATAAAATATCTTCCAGTAAAGTGTAAAGATTTTTACCGGCATGGTTACAACATCAACACTACCAGAAGCCTCCCACCCCCAGAAAAAAACCTCTTTACTCACATACTGGTATTTCTTGAACCAGCATGGCTACAATATCACTCTAATACTGTTTCCAGTGTTTTTTGATGATTTAAAAAAAAAACCACAACCATATTTTCACTTCAAGCAGTCCTTTTTCCTGAAAAAACTGGTTCTTCATCAGATATTTAAAACAAAATTCTGTCTGACAAGTGGAAGCGTCACTGTTTTGGATGAAAAGTAGGTTTTCCACCCAAAAATTTGATGAGAACAACTCTATTTTTGCAATGTTATTGACATTTTCCACAGGAAAAATGTTATTTGAAGGAGCTAAAATCTGTGGCCAGGCCAAGGTTTTAGGCAGAATCGGTCACTACAGGGCTTTGATATTGACTGGCGTGAGCAGGTATTAGGGTACTGCCACCGATAATAATTCGGAAAAGCAGGAGCTGACCAATGCCAGTTTCTGGGCTAACTTTTCTCTCCTGGCTGGAGCACCTGCAAAATGATGCAATAAAAATAACCATCTAAATACCAGACCCAGAGCAGAACAACTGCATTCTTTGTAATAATCTTTCGGGGAAAATGAGTGCATTTATAATCACGGATTATGTGCCCATTGATTTAATAGGAGGAAAAAGAAATGTTGTGCGATTAAGATTGCATTGTGTGATTAAAATCCAGCTATGATAAAAGCTGGGTGTGCAGAGTCATGGTGCATAGAAACAGGCAGGCAGGCCCCAGTGGATGGCAAGGGATGTGCACGTGTTTCCAGAGGTGCTCTGCATGGATAAGTGTCACCCAGGGCAGAGACAGGGTGGAAAAAGCAAGCCCCAGTTCTGCAGGCCTCATGTCAACACGTTGCTCATTGGATTGGATCCTTCTGGATGGCGGTTTCGTCTGAGCCATCGTTTCATGCTGCCTCTGCCGGTGGCAGAGTGGCTAAGGTGCCTGCTCTGGACTCCTGCCAGAGGCTGCTGTCAGTGGATCTAGCTATATGCAAGCATCTGGCCATTTGGCGGAGCGGGGAGGCAAGGGTGGCTGGATATGATGCCAGCTACATCACTCCCTTATGTGCTGCTAGCTACAGACATGGGTGTGCATGAACCACACTAGTCCCATGGGCTGTTATGCTTGGGCAGACTTACATTTGCACTGGCTTGTGCTAAACTGAGGTGTTTGCTCCATCACTGTGCGCTCCTTGCAACACTAGAGTCCCCTGTGTGACACCACATCCCTTGCCGTGGAGAGGAAGTTGGCACTTGAACTCTGATTCGAGTAGAGAGGCTCGGGCTTGATGAACACCCGATTCCTGCAATGATTAACCAACATGCTCAGGAGCAGTCTGGGTAGTTGGGGTGACAGAGGAGAGAAGGGGTAAGATTCCCCTCCCTAGGGGGGAAGGCTCTGGGCCCCGGGTCCAGCACCAGTGCAGCGAGCTCCCTTCAATATATAAGGAAGAGCAGAGCGCAAGGAGCTGTCCAGTTCTGGTGGCTGGTGTCACAGGACGTGGTACCACCAAGTGATGCTCTCCTGGTGATGGGATGCAGCATGAAGACAAGACTGGGCATGGACAGAGGAAGAGCTGCAAACAAACAGGGTATCCCATGTCCTGCACTGACCCCCTGATGCTGAAATACTTTGTAGGGAGCTGCTGGCTGGTAAGCAGCCCATAACACATCCCTTGGAGCATTCACTGAACCTGCTGTTACCAAGCAGCTGGAGAGACATGTCATCAAACGACACAGGTGACTCCAAGCTGCGGCGAGTCCAGCTGGGTGGCTGGATAATTCAGTGACCGCAGATGGCATTCACTTGCATGCAGAATGAGAGATGCCAATCTCGGGTAATCAACTCTCCTGTTTCAAGGCCTCTGCTGACTGCATGAGAGACAGGGAGGATTTTTTTTTCTCCCCCTTCCCTCCCCCCAGACTTTAAACTGTGTTGTGCAACTGGCTAAATGCACGGTGGGAAAGTTTCCACTTCACTTCCTTCTGATGCATTCAAGATCAGCCGCTACCAGGAGGTAGAGACCAGATGAAACAGGCCACTGGCTCAACCTGGGAGGCCAAATCCAGCCGGTGCTCTTCTTGCCAATGTGACATTTCTTCACAATCTTTCTGCCCCCGGAGGCATTGGCAGGCTCCTACGGGGAGAGTCACCGAGCGTGTAGCAGGCTCTTGGAAAGCGTGTGTCAGGATGTCTCTAAGTCACACAGGAGCCTCCAGTTCTTCCTCCCAGAGGGACCTGGTGCCTTCCCGCTGCCTGGCAAGGACCTGAGCTCTCCTGTGTTAGGCACACAGCACAGCGGGCTAGTTCATATTACCAGGGTCACCGTATACCTCGCTTCCCGCAACCCTGCCAGGGTTTGTGCGCGAGAGAGAGCACCGCAAGCAGGGAGAGAACTGTGTGCTAATGCAAGGGCAGGCTTCTTTCAAAGGGCATGCACTGTATTGATGGCCCAATTCTGCATGCGCAGAACTCCTCCTGGGAGGTCCTGAGCCTTGCCCAGGCTTCTCTGTACCTCCTAGGATAAAGCCCTCTGTTATTTTCCATACAGCAAGCTAATTTCCTGCCGAAATT